AGTAGGCGGAGATGCCGAAGCACCTTGTCCCTGTGCATAACCAATTGCTCCCGCGAGTGGGCTAAATTCAGCCAGTCGTCGAGATAATTGAGTATGCGAATGCCCGCGAGCCGAAGGGGCGCTAGGGCACCCTCCGCGAGTTTGGTGAAGACCCGCGGAGACAGAGAGAGCCCGAAGGGGAGGACCTTGTACTGCCACGCTCGACCCTCGAACGCAAACCGCAGAAATTGGCGGTGGCGTGGAAGAATGGAGACATGGAAATACGCGTCCTTCAGGTCTATGGCTGCAAACCAATCCCGAGGACGAACGCATTGGAGAATGCGCCTCTGCGTGAGCATTCTGAACGGCAGCCTGTGCAGACAGCGGTTCAAAACGCGCAGATCTAGGATTGGCCGTGACCCACCGCTCTTTTTGGGTACGATGAAGTATGGGCTGTAAAACCCACTCTCCATCTCGGCTGGAGGAACCGGCTCGATTGCACCCTTCGCCAGGAGGGCAGCAATCTCCTCTCGCAAGACAGGGGCGGACAGGGGGCTGACCCTGGAGAAATACACGCCCGTAAACTTGGGGGGCCGTTTCGCGAACTGAATCGCGTAACCGAGTCTGATTGTGCGTATGAGCCACCGCGAGGGGCTGGCCCGCGCTAACCAGGCAGGCAGAGCCCTCGCTAATGGAGTCATCGCTACAATCGCTGACGTACCAGCGGTGGGGCAGCGCGGAGTGGGTGTGCTGATCCGGGAAGCACGAGGGTCCCGCGGAAGAGCTGGAGGAGAGCGATTCGCTCTGGCTCCGCACCCTGACTCCGGAGAGGGGGCTGGAGGGCTGAGGGAAGGGAGACCGTCCCCCCAGCGCTCGTGAGCCACTGGCGAAGCACGTAGAGTCTGCGAGCCGGAAGGCAGCGCGTCCCGGACTGGCAGAACTCGTGCAGTCACATCCGGGGAAGGGAAAAAGTGCTCTTTTACTGATGTTTTGGTGGCACTGAAAAGTACCTTTGTTATCGGGGCCCCGCCCTCCAGCGGGGAAAGAGCAAGTTTCCTCTTCTCCGGATGGCCTGTCTCAGGGACGCTTCGCGGTCCGTTTACCGGACTTAACGGCGCCCTGGGCAGGAGGGGCTGCCTGCTTTCGAGGTGAACGCCGCGCCCGCTTGGCCGGAGGCGCAGGCGGGGGCGGGGCAGCACTCGTTGGCGGGCGCCCTCGGCGAGGAACAGCGGAAGTGGATGGCTCGGCGGGCGGAGCGGGCTTACGGCCACGCCGATAGATGACATTGCCCATCGCATCCGACTGCTCTTTCACCGCCTTGAATTCCTGGGTGAATTCACCGACGGTGTCGCCGAACAGGCCAGCCTGGGATATGGGCGAGTCAAGAAAGCGAACTTTGTCAACGTCGCGCATATCGGCCAGGTTTAGCCAGAGGTGGCGTTGCTGAACCACAAGTGTGGACATCGTCCTCCCCAGCGCACACGCGGCGGACTTAGTAGTCCGAAGAGCATAGTCGGTCGCGGTGCGCAGCTCATGTAATAAGCTTGGGTTGGACCCGCCCTCGTGCAGCTCGGCCAGCGCCTGCGCTTGGTAGCGCTGGTAGGTGGCCATCGCGTGCAAAGCAGAAGCAGCCTGGCCCGCAGCCTTATAAGCTCTGGCTCCGAGGGAGGCAGACAACCTACAGGCTTTGGACGGGAGGCGGGGCAAACCCCGCCACGTAGAGGCGCCGCGCGGACAAAGATTGACCGCGATAGCGCGCTCCACTGACGGGATCGCCTCATACCCCCTGGCAGCTCCGCCGTCAAGGGCGGTGAGGGCGGAGGCACACGCAGCACGGGCAGAGAAAGGTGCCCTCCAAGACTGCGTGAGCTAACTGTGCACTTCCGGGAAGAAGGGGACGAGAGGCTTCGAAGGCTTCGCCTTCTGGTCCTCTACGTAGCACCCATCTAGTCGGTCCGGCCGCGGAGCTGGGGGATAAACCATCTCCAACCCCACGGCCGAAGCACCCCTGGAAAGCACGGCTAACATGTCCGCTTCAGGATCCGATTTGACAGCGCTCACCTGCCCGGAGGGGGCGAGCGGGTCCGGATCTTCGTCGGACAGTGAAAGCCCACCCTCCGATGCCGCGGAGGACATCTGATCTCCGGTGTCAGCGAGTGTGAGAGCTACCATCTGGTTAGACGGATCACTCTCACCACCCGAAGCTTGGATGGAGCGCCGTGAGGAGCGAGAGGTCCGCGAGCCCGTGGGCGGCGGATTATCTCCCGCTGAAACCCTCAGATCTGCCCGAGCGCCCGCTGCTTTTTTAGAACAGGAGGCAACTGGGGTGGCTCGCTCTCTTGCGAAAGTTAGCCGCGATCTTAGCTGTGCAACGGTCATGGCATCGCAATGACGACATGAACCGCCCGCGAGCACCGCATTAACATGCTGGACCCCCAAACATGCAATGCAGTGATCGTGTCCATCATCCGGAGCCAGGAAACCCCCGCATCCAGAAACGCACAGTCGGAGCGCCATCCTGAAAAGGACGTGCTGCACGACTGTGTTGCTCTTTTAGGAAAGTTGCAACTATACGCACCGCTCTGGAGGACCGGACCCAAAGAACCGCAGGCAAGGGAGTAACCCAGCTCGACCGTCTGCCACCGCGAAGACCCACTCTGGACCGGGAGACACACTCGTTCGCTCTGAAGTGCTGAACAGCAAGAGGAACCCTCATCGACTCACTCAGAAAGGATCTGAAGCGAAAAGGATGGCGTCTGCTGGCTTCAGGTGTGCTTATATGCTGAGATAATTGCAGATGTCGCACACCTGCGCAAGCTTACGCTGCCAATTAATTTCATTCATTGGCCCGTTCAATACTCTCCAGACAAGCGGCTTCTGATCCGAATCCTCCCAATGCGTGGATTTTACAAATCAAATCCACTTATAGTGCTGAAGTTCCCCCCCAAGGGGAACAAGATATTCAGAAGAGTTTTCTAAACCAACATTGTTATTGAGATCCATAGTAAATCTATAGTAAAATAGTGAGTAAAATCCTGCTGTTTTCTAAAATGTTTCAGTATATCTTCTTTTGTGCACAACAGAAGAAAGAAACTCCTAACAGATTTGGAACAAGTGAAAAAGAGTAAATGATAACAGAACTGTCATTTTTGGGCAAACTGTCCCTTTAAATATTATATTTTTATAAAATAAAAATACCAAAAATATTTCAATAGTTGTAATAATATTTCATGCAATGTTTATCAGATGTTATCATTTCTAATAGTATTATTAAAGTTTAATTTATAATTTTAATGCAATTTTATTGTGCAGTCATTAACTAAAATATGTATTTCTTCTTAAAAAATATTTTTCATCAACTAAATCTAGACTAGACTCTTTCTTCTTTATTATTTTATTCTTTACATTTGTGTGGCAAAAATGCTAATAAAGCTGGACAAACTAATGCAACTAATCAAAACCTTTTTCTACAGTGCAGTTTGTAATGTCTAATGTGAAATTTGTCTCCATAAATAACTGCATCATTAGTTTTTCACACGTTTTGTTTTTTTTCAGTGTTATTGCTGTCTGTTTCATTAGGTTGTCTAAAACACAACCAAGTAATGATGCTCTGCATATAGTGAATCAGTGCTGTATGATGAACTGAACACGGAGGTCGTTCAGCCCTTATTGTCAGCCTCCCGCTGACTCATGCCGAGTTCAGTATTAATAGTTAGCAGATTGAAGATCACCATCATCATCTTCATCCGCAGCTCCTGCTTTGAAATGTAGCCGCTCAACACCAGATCGCTTGTTAGCAGAGTCCACATCACAGAAATCCTGCTTCTGAACAAATGTGTGATCGTGCTATTATTTTTAACTTCAAGCGGAAGACGACAAACTGGTAAACCAACATAACAATGTTCAGTAACTACAGTGCTTCACCCTGGTTTGATGTTGCTGCCTTAACAAAAATAAATAGATAAATAAATCTATGACCATGAAGTACACATGAAAATAATAAATTAATAAATAAATATCATGTTTTCACTTCAGAAAAGTTAAGAAATACATTTTTGGTTGAATAACCCTGTTTTACATAAAATGAAAACATTTGTTTTTCTGACTTATTGTCATTTTCTGCTTAAAACCCAAAACAAAGTATTTTATTTAATTTTTTTAAAGAAATGTTAACAAATGAACAAAAAGCAAATGCATTTTATAGAATAAAATAAAAACAGAAAATAAATATGTATTAATGTTGTCAATGTTTTTGGTTATTTCTATTATAATATTATATGTTTATTGTTTTATTATTAGAATTTTGTTTTAATGGAAACATTTTAAATATTTAAAGTTACATTTTACAAATTTTGTAATATGTTTCCTACATTAATAGTACATTATTATAAGTTAGTTATGCACTGTAAAAAACTCAATTTACTTGAGTTATTTCAACTCATTTGAAAAGAGTTTTAAACTCATTGTTGAAGGTATTGAGTTAATTAAATACCTTATGACTTCAACTTAAATGGAGTAAGTTCACAGTACTCATATAGATTTGTTTTTACCTCAAATGGTTTATAGCAATCAGTTTCTTCAAACAATTTGAGTTGGCTTAACTTATTGGGTTTTATAGTACTCAGTTGGTTTGAGTTCTCTTCATGTATTGGGTTTTACTTTGCTCAAATTGCTTTATTTACTCAAATGGATTAAGTTCACAGTACTCATTAGAATTAGTTTTTGAACTTAAATGGTTTGTTGCAATTGGTTTCCTCAAATGGTTTGAGTTACTTTTTTAGGTTTTACCGAGTACATACCCTTTTAAGTTATACTCTATTTTCACCATTCCAGCATTATACTGTAAATTAAGTTATACTCTATTTTCACCATTCCAGCATTATACTGTAAATAGAGAAAGAGAGAACGAGAGAGCTTAAAAAAAACTAAAAATGTTAGTTTTGTCTCAAAAGAAAATATGTATTCTTGAAAGTGCTTCTTCAGAGGGCCATAATGTGATGTGTTTTTGTTGTTGATCACAGCTGAAGATGACGTGGTGTCCATGGCTGATTCCACTATTACTGTGGAGGACATTGAGGGAGAGCTCTTCAAAATCGAGAGGATAAAAGATGCACTCGTGCGCAAAGAGTCTGAGCTCAGATATATGTGAGTCTGCCTTTTTAGATTGAGTCTGACTGCTTTCCTACTATGATAGAACCACAGGTGGCTGCTTGACATGCATGAAAGAAACTGGCATAGCTGTTTTCACACAAAATATTTTTGCCAATAATTCACATTTTAAGTGAAAGTTAAAGCATTTTTAAGTACAGGGAGACAAATTAAGACATTTGCCTTTAAAAGAGGTACACTGAGAAGAATATTCAAAGATGATTATTTGGATTTACAAATATATTTTAAAACATTTTATTTGGGCTGAATATAAACAAACAAATTAAGCTGAACATTACTAAACCTAATTTGTTTGCTTAAACGCAACCCATACTGTATACATTTTCACAGATTTATCATCATCATCAACAGACTAAGACTAGTTCAGGACATTTTTTAATCCACAATGCAAATTAATTATACAAACCAAGCTGTACAATAAAAGTGGAACAACTTGGTCTCCATTATATCTATTATTTGAAAAAGCACATCCTGCAAATTGGGATTTATTTGTAAGTAACTAAAAAAGAAAAAGAAAAAAAACAGCCTACTCACAATTTACAAACTCTCAAGTGGTTCCAAACCTGTTCAAGTTTTTTTCTTCTGTTGAACACAAAATCAGATATTCAGCCATTGACATCCATTGGAACAAAAATACTATGAAAGTAAATGGTTACCCATTTCCAACATTAATCAAAATATCTTCTTTTATGTTCAACAGCAGAACGAAAATAATTTTTCATTCAGAAACCATTTGAACAAAATGCATCTGTCCAGTGCAGACATGTAAGATCTAGAGGCACAGATAATGTGATAAAAACAGGGGAAATTGTTGAGGAAGTTTATTGGTAAATAGATGCACTGCACTTATTTACAACAATAGCAAACCCTGCGAGCGAGTTTTGTGTGCTATGCCATTGATACAAATCTGCTTGATCACAACACCAGCTTCGTGTGTGTGTGTGTGTGTGTGCGTGTGTGTGTGCGTGTGTGTGCGTGTGTGTGTGTGTGTGTGTGTGTGTGTGTGTGTGTGTGTGTGTGTGTGTGTGTGTGTGTGTGTGTGTGTGTGTGTGTGTGTGTGTGTGTGTGTGTGTGTGTGTGTGTGTGTGTGTGTGTGTGTGTGTGTGTGTGTGTGTGTTATTTGTATGATAGCAGTGTGCACAGTGCCTAGTAAACCATATTATGTGCTATTTCATTGCCAAACAGACTCTTTTAGCATCATTCAATGAAGTGTGTTTTGATAAATTCATGCCGTTTACTCCTACCTTGACTTCTGTCTGGAAAATATGTTTTAGTGTACAATAATGTGGATCTAAGAACATAAAGGACAGTCTGAGGAGATTTTGAAATTGGTTTTGATTTTATTTCTTGTGAATAATTTAATGTTTCTCTAATTATTGCTAGTTATGTTTTATGTTTTGGGAGTATTTACATCCATCCCTAATCTACAGGTATGTATATGTATAAAAAAAAATTTAATACACATTATAAAAGCAGCTCTTTGCTCATTTAAGGATTTGGCCTCTCTAAACTTTTCTGAGAATCTGCTCTTCTCTGATTGGTCCATTGGCACAGTCTGTTTAAGGTTGAGGTCAGAACCTGGTTGAAGGTCAAAATAGACATTGTTGATGGGCTGCAGTAAAGTCCATTGGCTTAACTATTATGGAGATTTGTTATGAGCATGTTGGGGAAAGTTACTTTTGAAAGTAATGCATTACAATATTAAGTTACAAGTATTCCTTAAAAAGTTACTTTAGGCATTATTTAGTTACTTTTTATGGTAAGTAATGCGTTATTTTCATTTGGAGTTAGTTTTACGTTACTTTGCCTGCATGACTGAGGCTTCATCTCTTTTAAAACTTGCAGAGACTTAAAAGACTTCTTCGTTTTTTTTTTTTTTTTAACAGAGAAGCTCTGCATTAAACCACACACTGTACAAGCTGCACTTTCATTTATCTTTTAAAAAAACACATAAAAAATGGAAAATTTAGGATGTTATCTTCTGAGAAATTCCTAATTCCAGAGCTATACATGACGTTACGGATTACATACAGATTAATGAAAGCTTAAAGCAATGTGTTTTAAAAAGTAACTCAAATATTATTACTTCATTTTTCAAAGTAATGTGTTACTTTACTCTGTGCTTAATATTAACAAGATAAAAGCTTTACTGTGCTTAATATTAATAAGTAATGAGGTAACTCACATTACTTGTAATGCATTAGCCCCAACACTGGTTATGAATCTAAAGGAAGACTGGAATGACATACTAATTTTAGTAAGTTCAGAATCGCTGCTTTCTCTTGAAAGACTTTAATGGCATTTATAGTGCCCTTTTGCAGGCCATCTAGATTGACAAAAAGCTGCATCACACCCTATATGAAATGTAATATGTGAAAAATCACTGTAGGGCTATTTAAAAGCTCATTTTATTCTCTTTTTCTTCTATGATTCATCAGGATGGATGACATCCAGTTGTGTAAGGAGATCACAAGGCTCAAAAAAGAGCTCCAGAAACTGGTTTCCATCCCAGGTATGTTCTTAAAATTAAAAATAACCTTTAATTTATTGATGTTGGACTGAGTCTGAACTGTAAAAATATGTGTTAAGTAAGAGTTACCCATAGTTTGTGATTCACAGGTGTTTTTCTAAGGGCAATATGGGATCTTGATCTGTGCTCCATCAACTTTTGATGTTGAAAATGTTCAGGGCCGCTGGCGATTTACTGGGCAGTTGGCCAGAGCTGCGCTCTAATTTGGGCTTTATGTTTGGTTTTGCATTTAAACACTACCGCTGATGACACACCACATCCATCCACATGCTCTTCACACTGATTGAACATACTGATGTTTGGATTGTTATTTTCAATTGAGTTAGAATAAATATTATTTTTGACTTTATTTTGTGGTGCCGTCTGCCTTAATGTTACATCTTAGAGCCAGGTGTAACAAAATTTTTAACAAAGTGACTTTTGTTGACATGTTAGAAGCTTAATACAACAAAACATTGCAATGGTCAATTAAATTATTGTACAAAAAATATGTACTTTACTAGCAACACTTTTCATTCATGCATTCATTTATTCATTTTCTTTTCGGCTTAGCGCCTTCATTATTGTGGTGTCGCCACAGCGGAATGAACCACCAACTTATCCAGCATATGCTTTACGCAGCGGATGCCCTTTTAGCAGCAACCCATCTCTGGGAAACATCCATACACACTCATTCACAATCATACACTACGGACAATTTAGCCTACCCAATTCACCTGTACCGTTTGTTTTTGGACTGTGGGGGAAACCGAAGCACCTGGAGGAAGCCCACGCGAACACAGGGTGAACATGCAAATTCCACAAAGAAACACCAGCTGACCCAGCCGAGGCTCGAACCAGATATTATTTCTCATATAACAAATCGTTTCAAACTACTAAAAATGTCAATAAAATAATTTAAACTGCAGAGTTACATTTTAATCATTAAAAGTTGTTGGAGCAGAGATCAAGTGCCATAATGCAATTTGAAAGTGTAAATAAGCAGAAAAACACCTGTGAATCACGAGCTACTGGCAACTCTTAATTAACAGATTTGTTTTTCAAATCTAGGAGACGAATACAGATCTGATTCTCAGTGGTGGAGAGCATCTGTTTTTATTTTCTACCTTACAGAGCAGAGGCTAGGTGATGCTTTAAACAGCTTTAAACTGAACATCGTGTCTGTTAGATATTCAAACAACATGCCTTTTTATTCATCAGTGCAGTCAGAACAGTTTACAGCAAATCTTATATCATCAATAAGCCATAATAAGATTTCTGAAAGATGCTGTAAAACAGAAGCCTGGAGTAATGATGCAGAAAATAAAGCTTTGAATTCAGATAGAAAATTATCCAATTTTTAAGATTTTATTTACTGCATTTATAATCAAATAAATGCAGCCTTTGTGATTATTGGAGACTTCCTTCAATATTTTTTTTAAAAATGACCCCTCTCCCAAACCTGTTGTCAGGATAAAAAATTATCCCAAGACTCAGGAAGATTTATTTCAAAAGATTTCATGGCCTTGCAGCAAGTGAACAATACAGAATAAACACAAGGGGTTCTATTTTAACAATCTAAGCACAAAGTCTAAAGCGCATGGTGCAAGTGCATTAAGGGCATGTCCAAATCCACTTTTGCTAGTTTAAGGACCGAAAAGTACACTGCACCCCGCTGCATGGTCTAACAGGGTGGTGCTTATTCTCATAATGAGTTATGGGTGTGTTTTGAGTATAGCGTGCATTAAAGCAATAAGAGTCTCATCTCACATTCCCTTTAAGAGTCTGTTGCGTTGCACCAAGGCGCCTTCGCAATTAACATGTCAGACTTTGTAAGTAGAAAAACTGAATGTTTTTAGTGATAAAACAGTTAAACAGACCATCTGCAGCGTGAGGATTAAGAATCAACCTCCTTAAATCAGCTTCTTTACTTTCTTTCTCTTTACTTTTACTTTTTACTCCTTTACTTTCGTGGATAAGGAAATCCTGTTGTTCGCACTCCACTGAAGGCATGCATTAGCCTACATATTTAATTTAGTTTGTTAAGATATGTTTCCAAACTTTTTCTGAATTCAGTTCCAATTTCCAGTAAACAAATAATTAAACAACAATAATAATGAAGTGTGGTCAAAAATGTGTTTGGAGTTATATCCAAACACATACATGTCCTATTCTTATGTCTAGATGGTGATACATACGTCTCCAAAATCAGAGAGGTAGACAAATCTACACTTGTTTTTAGTAAAATGCCTTATTGCACCGGGTGTATGGTAGGGCACATGAGATTCCATTCTGGTTGCTCAGAGGGCCAGTTTTTATAGAGGCATACAAATAGATGATGAAGTATTGTCTTTAATCAATGCTCTAAACAGTTTGTTTGGTAGAATCGTATTGATTGAATACTCGACTCTTTGTCATCACAAAATTTCTGTAACTAGCACATTCCAACCATTCAACTGATTGAAAACTACAGCTGAGAATCTGATTATATCAAGAAACACAACTTTGAATTTCTTTAAAAGTATACCTCTATAAAAAGAATTTAAATCGAATAAATGAAAATTAATTCAATACATTTATTTCTAACACCTGTGAGTAGCAGAGTACAATAAAAAAGGAATTCAGCTAACATATATGCAGTCTGCTTTAGAATCTGAGGAAGAACTCGATCTGCACTCCCAGTATTATGTGACTTTCTTTGAGATGTCTTCGTGTTCTCTCTTGAACAGCATCATTCACTGCTCCTGTTTTCATGTCAGTAGCTCTTCAGCACATGCTTATGACATACTTCACTATAGGTCTCCAGTTTCCAAGGAGATGTGCGAATCAAGCGTACGCTGTGTTTTGTTTACTGCTGAAACCTCATTTCCAAGTGCACACAAGGCTTGCGCTCACAGAAGAGGTTATTTATTCAATACGGCAGATAATAATGTGTTATACTTTACCGTTTTAAATAAGTCACATTCCAGCAATGCTGAGGCCCATTTATTTTGAGACCTGCAGGTCTTTCTGGATTATCTGTGGAGGCAGGCTTTTTTTATACAGTAAGCTCTATATGCAAACCAACAGTTTTAATAATTGTGGCTCTGTATGCTACCAGAATGGAAGTTGAAGGATAATTCACCTTAAAAAAGAGCATTTACTCACTATTTACTCACCCACAAGTTGTTCCAAACCTTTAAGAGTTTTTTTTATTGTGTTGAACACAAAAGTAGATATTTTGGAAAAATGTTGAAAATCTGTATCCATTGATTTCCATAATAGGAAAAACAAATAGTATGTCATTAGTTACAGGTTTCCAGCTGTCTTCCAAATATCTTCTTTTGTGTTCAACGTGTATATTTCCTTTGTGAGCTGCTTTGACACAGTCAACATTGTAAAAGCGCTATAGAAATAAAGATCAATTAAATTGTGAGAAATGAAGATCAAACAGGTTTGAAACAAAAACAGTGAGTAAATAATTTTAACAGAACAGATGTAATTGAAATGCTGAAATTCAGCTGTTACTTGTGTACAAAAATTGTCATAAAAGTGTTCTAAATTATTATATGAAAGTAAAAAAATGCCCTGGAATATCACTTTAAAGGGAGAATATTTGCCGTTAAAATAAAAGCTAGTTTTTGATCATATGTAGGGACTATTTAAAAAAAAAAAAAAAAGCTTGGAAACAATTGTTAGTAAATTACACAAATAATAACGAAGAAACAGCAATTATGATACTTAAATGTCACATTTTGTTATCAATATGACTGCATGATTTTCTATGTGCTCTAAAACTGTCAGGTATTTTCATTGCTGTCTTAATAAATCTGTTTGTTTTTTTAGAGAAGTCTGCAATTCTCTCCAAGGTTGCATTTATATGATCATAAAATGCAGTAAAAGCAACTTTATTGTGAAACAATATTACAAGTTAGTATTTTTTAGTTTCATCTTATTTAGCAGACGCTTTAATATACATTTACTTGCCACTTCATTAGGTACACCTGTCCAACCTCTCGTTAACACAAATTTCTGATCAGTCAATCACATGGCAGCAACATGGTGACATGGTGAAGCATGTAGACATGGTGAAGATGATCTGCTGCTGTTCAAAAGGGGATTTAAGTGACTTTGAACGTGACATGTTGGTGCCAGACGGGCTGATCTGAGATTTCAGAAACTACTGATCTACTAGGATTTTCACACACAACCATCTCTAGGGTTTACAGAGAATGGTCAGAAAAAGAGAAAGTATCCAGTGACCTGCAGTTTTGTGGACCCAAATGCCTTGTTGATGCCAGAGGTCAGAGGAGAATGGCCAGGCTGGTTCCAGCTGATAGAAAGGCAACAGTAACTCAAATAACCACTCGTTACAACCGAGTTATGCAGAAGAGCATCTGTAAATGCACAACACGTCCAACCTTGAGGCGGATGGACTGCAGCAGCAGAAGACCACACGGGGTGTCACTCCTATCAGCTAAGAACAGAAAACTGAGGCTACAATTCACACAGGCTCACCAGAACTGGACAAAAGAAGATTGGAAAACGTTGCCTGGTCAGATGAGTCTCAATTTCTGCTGCAACATTCGGATGGTAGGGTCAGAATTTGGTGTCAACGACATGAAAGCATTGATCCATCCTGCTTTGTATCAACAGTTCAGGCTGGTGGTGGTGGTGGTGGTGGTGTAATGGTGCGGGGATATTTTCTTGGAAAAGGTGCTGTATTCAAATTCCTTTTATGTGATATTCCCGTTTTGAGCATAAATTTAATTAGCATGTTTGGATTGAAACATAGCTAGTGTCCTTATTCTGACAATCCTTCAGAAATCTTTTTTAAATGGGGATTCGATGGTCAAAAACATTTCTTAAAACCATTTTTTTCCATTTGCTTAAAATTTTGGAAAGAAAACTGATGCCCATTCTTAAGTTCACAAGTGTTTACCATCATTTCTGATCCATTTAATTTTGCAGACAAAGACAAGTCTAATGAGGACCGACAGCGTGAGGAGGAATTGCTTCAACAGATCCAGAAGCTGGTGGAGACGCGTGACTTTCTAGTAGATGACATGGAGTTTGAGAGGCTCAGGTCAGTGTTAAAGAGCCTTCAGAGACATTCAGGCACACTGGCCGTAACCCTTTAGATCACCGCCAAGCACGCGTGACTATCAGCCCAGAGAATGTGTTTTGTGCCTCTTGTGGCTGTTCCCTCATCTGTGAAGATGCCGCAATCCAATTACCCTCCACTCGAAGCCAATAATCCACCCTTGCTTTACACACACACACACACACACACCTAACGCCACGCTGTCAGATGCTCCCAGTGGCTCTGATTCTCAGAAAACAGTAAGATTGATTCACGGGCAAGAATTGAAATGAAAAAAGAAGACGCTGTTGCGTGTTGTTATTTTTTTTTGCTTTGAGTTTGACTGGTTTCCATCTGCCAGGACCTCACGACCATTTGTGTGTGTGTGAGTAATTGTGAGTGACGCACGCATTACAAGCCAACACGGATGAAGTCCTCACAGTTTATTCACAGGATAAATGAGCTGCCGTCACCCGCATGACAAGCAGCTATTGCACCGGTGGATGCTGGAGAGAAAGAATAACAGCGAGATGTCAAACGCTCCCACTAAGACCCATGTGCTAAGAGAATAATTGATTGTTTGGAGTTTGAGTGTGAAGGTTTGGTGAGCGTGCACCATCTCAATTCACAACTGTTCACAACAGTGTGGATCTGCTTTTTTATTTTAAAGACTAAATAAATAATGAGATATGCTATATTGGTGGGTGCAGCACACAACAACTGACAACTGAACATGAAACAAGAAATGTAATAACTGTATGTAGGAATATTTGTAATGATTTTGTATTCATAGCTTCAGTAATCAAGTATTATAATATAATATAATATAATATAATACAATATAATATGTATAGTACAATATAATATAATATAATATAATATAGTTTAATATAATATAATATAATATAACACAAGATAATAAAATATGTATAGTACAATATAATATAATATAATATAGTATAATATAATATAACACAAGATAATAAAATATGTATAGTACAATATAATATAATATAATATAGTTTAATATAATATAATATAACACAAGATAATAAAATATGTATAGTACAATATAATATAATATAGTTTAATATAATACAAGATAATATAATATGAATAGTAAAATAATATATATATATAATATGATATAATATAATATAATATAATAAAGTTTAATATTATATTATATTACTTTTTTTTTTATTTCATAACATTAGATTGCATTGTGTTGTGAGAGCAGAATCAACCTGTCAATCGCATCAGAACAACTAATAGTGATCTACAAACATTTAATTGATTTCTACGTTAATGCACTAATGTCTGAAAATCTGTTTCACTCAGATATACATTACAAAAATACTGTTCACTAAACTATAAAGTACTACTTCCATTTCATTCGCTTTTCATTATAGACAACATCTTATAATTAATGCTGTTTGCTAAGCCAAAAAAACTAACAAAAAGATAAGGTATGTTATTGATTTACAAAGGAGAGAAACCTAAATGATTGAGGCTGGTTTAGACTTGTCAATCACCAATAAACTACACTGAATACCCATAGCAACCACCAGGATATGCTAACAAGTGCTAAAAACCACTCTGAATGCAATCACACATCATCATGACGGGTATTGAATGGGTTTGCACCTCTAGCATTTCAGATAATATACTTACAGAAAATATACTAGCGTACCAACACATATGGCTTTGATAAAACATGATTTCTGATATTTGCATCATTACGTATTTTTTTTAAGCATTATTAAACATTGGTGTTGTGTAAGTACTTACAGCTTCATATGCAGTACCAGACAAAAGTATGGAAATATAGTTTATTTTAATGTGATTGATGATGCTTTTTAAGTGAAATGGAATATTGACAAGGGAGAGGAGGCTTATATTTGCACTCCACATATCATCTTCCACTTACAGCAAATGAACTTTGGGTGTGGCTTTTTTTAAGCCATCAAACTCACATCATCAGAGAAGGAATGTCATTTAAGAGCAAAAGCAAATGGTCACATTTTGATTAAAAGTGACCAAACCAATTAAATTCATCTTTATTTCTGTAGCGCATGTCAAAGCAGCTTAACATAGAAGTTATGGTAAATTGAAATCGTGTCAGTCCAGTTTACAGAGATTAGGTTAAGTTTAGTTCAGTTCTGTGTGGTTTAAATTTTACTGCTGAAAGCCCAAACACTTAAGAGCAAATCCATTGTTGGGCAGCTTCATGGGTCCCAAACCAAGAAAGCCAGTGGCAACAGTGGCAAAGTAAAAAACTTCACCAGTTAATGAAAGTGAAGGAAAAAAAAACTTGAGAGAAACCAGACTCAGTTGGGCATGACCATTTCTCCTCTGGCCAAACTTCCTGTGCAGAGCTGCAGTCTATGTGCCGGAGGATGGAAAAGGCTGGACGTAAATCATGTAGGTGGATCAGACAGCTGTATCAGTAGATTAACTTGCAGATTATTTGTTCATCCTAAGAATAACACCAAACAATGTGCTTTATTAAATTAAACATTTTTATTTTTGATTTCATGTCAATTTTAATATTTGTTATTGTTTTAAAGGAAGAAATTTTAAAATAAATTTTAAAAGGGGGGGGACTATTTTTCAAAGATTTTTGAAAGATAATGTCTCAAAAGACCTTGAAAGGCTTTGCTTTGAATCACAGGAATAAATGACATCTTAAAATATATTCATATAAAACAGCAGTAATGCATTTACAACAAGGTTGTATCAGTTATTGTTAGTTAATTTATTTAATAACATGAACAAAAATGAATAATACATTTATTACAGCATTTATTCATATTTATTAATATTAGTTATTGATAATCAATTTTTCTTCAGTTTGTTAACAGTGCATTAGTTAATGTTAACAAGCATTATTTCAGATTTTATTAATGCATTAGTAAATGATGAACTATGATCTATAAATGCTATAAGTATTGCAAATGCTATAGTAAGTATTGTTAGCTCATTGTTAAACCTTATTGTGAAGTGGTAACACAACAGCATAAATATAGTTTATTTCTCAGGTCTCCTAAATTTGTAGAATATTTTACAATGTATTTTTATTTTCATTTTATTTGCAATCAAAAAATGCAGCCTGAATATAATAATCTTTTTTTTTTTAAACATGTTAAATCATACCATCTCTAAGCTAAAACGTTGCTCATCTGTGTTCATTTGTCTGCTTTATGTCTGTTTTTCTGCACTCAGAGAGCGAGAGGAGGATAAAGAGATGGCTGACTTCCTACACGGCAAATTTTCCAACAGGTGCAGCTTAAAAAGTATGTACATGTGTAAATGTGTGTTGCTGTGTGCTCAGAAGCCAAGCTCTTAAACCTCCTTTTTCCACTTTTAATTCACAAATGAATAATAATCTGTTCTTTTAAGCATCTTAATTGTCTTACTCACTGCCTGTTCTAGTTTAATGAAAATGGAGTGTAGAGAACTCAGGAGGAAGCATTGTCACAAGCATGAATGCTAATTCTGTTCTCTAACTGTTGATAAGCTGTGCTGTCTTCATTTGCTTTCCTCTGGTTTACAACTAATGAGCTAATTGGGAACTGTGAGAAATAGTGCAGAAATGCATGAAGGTCTCTGGAAGAAGGAATGTTTGACTAAACTAGGGAAAACAATAAGTGTTGAGAAAAGTTTTGATTTCAGTTTTGCTTTGTAAAAATTTTCTAACTAAACATTAGGAAAGCTATTATACACTTGGCACAAGACGTGTATGGTGCAATTTGTTGCTATTTTCAGACCAGCAAAACAGAAATTTTCATGTTTTGCAACACGTTGTTCAAATAGCGAATCCATTTAACCCTCTTTGTGGACTCATGGGTAAGCTGGTCTTAAAAGAAGGTGTGTAAAGGCGCAGGGGAGTTGCTATTTTGATGAACTAAAATACAACATCATTGACCAACTGAAAGCTGGTCTAAAGTCCAGCGCAGAGCACGTTAATTATGCACACATCCAGTTCCAAATGCCTACACGTTGCTTAATAAACACACGATGTACAGCAATACACAAATATCTTTACTTATGAAAAAAATTAAAGGGTTAAAATATTACAAAAATTTTTATTTACTACATAAATGTAAAACTTTGAGGGCTTTTTCAGTTTATTCATGACAATTTGCATTTGTATAGTGTTGTTATTATTAGTAGTATTATCTATTATATGCAGATTTGTATTTGTTTAATAAAGGCAAGTTTAGAGATATATCTATCACCATAAGAATAGGACATGTTTTTGGATATAACTCAGGTTTTTTACCACACTTCGTTATTATTGTTCATTTATTCGTTGGCTGGAGATTACAACTGAATTTAGAAATAGTTACTTAATGAGTTGTTTTTTAAATCAACCGAACTTTCAATTTTTTTTTTATTTCAGTCTATTTTGTTAGTCCTTTTTCACAATAAACATGTTTCAAAGCAGCTTTACATAAAAGTAATATGTTTATAATTACTTATTTAATCTTTAATAACCTATATTTTATACTATTCCTTATAGTTGAATTTAGTAGATTCTAATCGGACAATAAAATAGTTACATTTTCAATCATACAACCTGTCTAAATTTAAAAAAGTGCTAATATAGTTACTTTTGTGACAAAGTTTTTAAAAAACAGTCAAAATATCTCATACATTGTAAAAAACTTTTTTAGTTAAATTAAATTATATTAAATTTTAGTCAAAGTGACTTCTAGTCATATTGACATCAGACTGAATTGAATAAGCTAAATTGACTGTGTATAGGTGTGAATGCAAGAGTGTATGGGTGTTTCCTAGTGCTGGGTTATGGCTGGAAGGGCATCTGCTGACTAAAACACATGCTGCATAAGTTGGCGGTTCATTCCGCTGTGGTAAACCCCAGATTAATAAAGGGACTGAGCCGAAAATAAAATAAATGAATGAATAATTGATGTACTTCAGTTCAAATCAACTTAGATAAACTGAACTGTGCGTCTTGATTGAATACAACTGATCTGGGCTGGGTTTCATGATAACAATGTTTCTTGGTTCACTAATATTAAAGTGCTACTGAAGTTACGATGCATTTGGCAAACAGGCTGTAAAATGATCAGTTGTGTGATCATTTTTACCATGAACTTAGGTTTATGATGCTTTTGGGAAATGCAGCTCTGAACTGTTATTAAGACTCACAATGTTCTCATTACTGTGCACCTCAGATCAGCTTAATTCACTTTTAGTCCAGTACTAAGTATTTCAATTAAGTTTTACTAAGTAACCTTGACTCACTGTAAATATTTTTAGTTTTACCTACTGTAAGTGTTCAGCTCATGAAAACAGTTAGGTCTTTTATACACAACCGAATGCTCTTGAAATTGCTTTCCATCAAGTGTTTTTGTAAATGTTGTAGTATGAAAACACTTTACCTTTTGAGCTTGACAGTGTTCAGAGATGCTGAAAATGATTCAGAGAAGGTCAGTGAATATTCCTCTCTCTCTTACAATTCAAGTCAAGTTGAGCTTTATTCTCTCTCTATCTCTATCTCTTTTCCTCTTATCTTCAGGTCAAAGCAAGGACAGGAGAATGACATCCAAAGCGCAGCAGACTTCGTCGTCTCCATATATGAGCAAGACAGGTATCACGCTGCTAAAAGAGTGCTGTGGCTTCACCTGCTCCATCATGTAAAACAGCAGAGTGACACGTAAACAAACCCCCAGACCCCATGATTCAGCACAATGTTGTCAAGCTCTCACACATTTAATTTCATAACAGATGGCAGAAGGTGAGCGCCTAACTGATGTGCATTTTATGCAGCCACTCATTGATGACAGGCTGTGGAGTTATTAGAAAATAAAGCACCTCCGATGTGGTGATGGCAGAGTTGCTTTGACATCTCAGGTGTGCTTTATTTTCGAATAATTCTGCAGTCTGGAGTGAGTTATTCTGGTTATGCTACGGTTACATTTGTCAAGTTTTTGTCATCAAACACTTTCTGCAAGGTACCCCCGCATCCTAGAGATTTGGAGGTGTTGTTTCCCAGTAAAGGAAGTGACCTGGAGATTGATAGAAATGACCAAATGTCATGGGCCCAGTTTTTCAAGAAATGAAATCTGGATCAGATTGGTTCAGAATTGGAAATCCCATGTTTTGCTATGCAGGATTAAGTGATCTATCTTACTTTTATGACAGTTTTTTAAAAGAACATTGGGTTGGATTAATGTGATCCAAATACCAAATTTTAGGATTACCAAATCCTGTTTACCAAAGCCCAACAGCAAAGATCAATATGTAGGCAACATAGCAGTGGACACAAACAACCATTGTTTGTTTTTAATGGTAAGAAACAGAAACACTGCAATCAACAAACATTTATAAGTTTTAGTTTGTTCTAATACAATACTGCTTTGATATTGTTTGTTGTTATTTAGCATTTTTATTAGGTGTGATATGCTTCAAATACAGGTAGGCTTCAAATATGAAGGAATCTATATATCATCAGTAACTATTAAGTTTGTGATCATTCACTTAAAAAATAAAACTTTTGAATTTTATTTGGTTTATTCTGTTCAAAAAATCTCAACTGAATCCACCCTTCGGATGTGGGATAAATCTTTTTCTTTCTTTTTTTTTTGATCAAATAGATCCCAATCTGAGTTTAAAGTTTTGAATAACCCAAAGGGCAGGTTTTATCCAAATTAAATGTAAGACTAGATTACATGGTCTGATCTTTATTAAAAATCCCTTTGTTACTTTTGAAAAACCCATTTCAAAGATTAGATCCAATCTGTGATCCAAAATCCCACTGGATTACTTTTGAAATGCTGGGCCCAGGAAATAATCCTTTTTTATGCTTGGATTAATTTCTGTATTTTAGAGTTTTTATTTTTCAGTTTTAAACAAAATACTGTCCATAAGCTTACACTGTAAAAATATCTGAGAATTTAGTTTTCCAGATTCATGTTTTTTTTTACTTATTTATGCTTTTGAATTGGATTATACGACTTTGACCTGTCCTTCTAACACTTCTGATGTTGAAAAATGTGAAAAGTAACTTTTATTGACATTTTAATAGTATAAAGTGATATATTTTCTGAGTTTGTGTTGTAAATTATAGTACATAAACCCGGTAATAAGCTGCCACTGCCAGTACATTTTCTGTTATTTCATAGACTGTGGTATTTATAAGGCCTCTATAGAATCCATTTTATCTTTTTCATTGATTTGTTGGTTTGTATCTTTAAAAGTAAAACAGAAGAACTCAAGGGTTTAAATACCTGCAGCAAAGTATTAGGGCTAAAAGTGCTGGGGTTATCTAATTTGTATGAAAGCCAGGTGTTAAAGAAAGCCCATCAGATTACATCTAATATATCCTGTCCTCTTTTTGATTCATTTTAAATTCTTCCCTCAGGATCTCGGTATAGGGTCCCTTTGTTCCTTGTGCAATTGATTTGCTGAATTTTGATGGGAAGAGGTAGTTGCTGTTTTTTAGTACTATAAATGTTGTTTAATATTTGTCTTCAGCGTGTGATATGTGTGTAAATCTATTACGCTACAGAACAAAAAAGGGGACAATAAAGTGTACACTACAGTACTAAATAAACAGAATAGACCTGTGTATCACTAAATATAAAACCTGTTAATTAACAGATATTTTTTGCAGTGTAGATATAATGACAGCTGAGCTCTATACTGAAAATGGCCTGGAAATATGTTTCTTAAAAACAGTGGAAACCCTACTCCTCTGTGTGGGACTAGTTTCATTATGCAAATCCTGAAATCGTTTTGCGTAGTGATATAAAGATTTAATATGGTCTGGAACTACCTTAGCTGTGCATTAAAAAAAAGTCAGTGCTCGTTAAAATGTCCATCAACTTATCAGAATCAAGCATTTAACCACATTATTGCATTATTGTATTTAAACTTAGTAAAATCATTCGGCATGGCGATCTTGAGCCGTAATGCGGTCACAACCTGTCTGGAACTTCTTTAGTTGTAAGTTTCCCCTAAAAATGATTGTGCAATTTAGAAAATTTATTAACCAATTAGAATCAAGCATTCAATAGCTCTAATGTTATTCATCATGGTGATCTTAAGCTGTAATACACTCACATCTGGAACAAACTTCTTTAACTGTGCATGTCCCCAAAAACGAATTGTTCATCAACCAATCAGAATCATTTAAGCAATCAGCAGCCTTTTGGAATGACTGCATTAAGGAGATATTCAGAATGAGGAGTTTAAATTATATGGTATTTCACAATTTAAACCGAGCGGTGTTAAAGCAGAGGACTAATGTTAAGCCGGAGTGCAGGATTTTCCATGAGCAGTTGCTCAGTTTGAGCTCTTGCTCTTGTTAGGACATTGTTTTCTCCCTTCCTTCTCACAAACGGCCAAATTGTCTTTTTTGGAGTTGCATCACCTGCCAGCCACAATATTTGTCACCAAAACACTGAGTGTCAATTGTGTTAAAAAAAATAGTTCACCTAAAATAATTGGGCATCATATTATTTACATGGTCCCTTTAACGCAATTTGATAAATTTAAGTTTCATTGCATCTACATGCCAACTAATTCTCATTAGATTATGAGTTAACTGTTAGGATAGGGTTAGTGTAAGTTGACATGTACTTGCAAAGTTTCTTATAGTTAGTAAATGTGTTGAAGAAGCAGTACCAAAAGATATTAAGCTGACAGATTACTAATACTCGCATGAGAAGTAATTGCATGTAGTTTCAATGCAACTTTTAGTCAACAAAATGTACAAGAGGGACCATCAAAATAAAGTGCTACCAATCATTCAGTTTTGTTGATAAGAAGATTTTGGAACAGACAAAAACACCATGACCTTTTGCATTGAGAATTTTGACTAAACAGTTTATTAAATCTGAATGCAGCACACAGGATGCTTATCATAATTCACTAAACTACAACCAAAAGTCACTTTGCCCACTTTAAAGAACTAAAATCTCTTCAGAATAAAAATCTTCAGTTTCTTGTTTTCATTTGGGCAGCGGTGCCCAAACTTTTTCCTACGAAGTTCCAAAATCCAAGCTTGATTGAGAGCTGTGAGCCGAAAGTAAATACAGCAAGCTATAGGAAGTTGCCATGGGTAATTTCCTAATTTATTTAATAATATTCATAAATAAATAGTAAAATAAATTACTTCAACCGTATTTACTAATGCATTATAATGTTTTAAAATTTTATATTATTTTAACAAACTTATCACAATAAAACCATTAAAAAACCCATTTATAAAACAATGGAGTTCAATGCCGAATACATTAGTCATGCTGAACCTGCCTTGATTTGCACGCTGATGTCTTCTGCTTTGTCCCCAATTTGTTAAGTGACAGCATGTACCTTTTTTCAAAATATGATTCATTTACAACGTTTAATTGAAACATTTAAATTCAGTTTCAGAAATAAAACAAACAAACCAAAGGTTTATAGAAATGAGAATCTCTGTTAAAGGCATTCCCCAATTTTTCCCAATCATTTTCCCTCTGTCGGGCCAAATCAAAAGATACAAAAGGGCCAACTTTAGCCCGTGGGTGCTAAGTTGGACATTTCTGATTTAGGGGAATAGGATATAAACATTCTTCCCTCTAACTTCTGCCTTCATCTTTTTCATTATTATTTTTACCACAGTGGTGTATCGTTTAGTGGTGGTGACATTATACAAATGCTGTTTGAAAGTTAAAATATAAATATATATATTTATTTTTGTGTCAGTTTCTTTTATAGTATTTCCTATAATATTTTTCTTGTGCAGAAAGTCTTGTTTCTTATGGTTTTGCTGTAATAAAAGCAGTTTTTTAAATTGTTTACATCTTTTAAGGTCAATATTATGAGCCTCTTAAGATTTTTTTTTCTTAGTTAACCTAGTTAACCTAGTTAATAACACTTTATTTTGATGGTCCATTTGAGTATTAGTAACCTGTTTGCTTAATATATGTTGATACTGCTCCTTCAACAGACATTTAACGAACTGTAAGAAACTTTGCAAACCCTAAACCCAACCCTAACCACAACCGAACAGTCAATTTATTATGTAATGAGAATTAGATTGCATGTACTTGCAATGTAACTTAAATTAAACAAACAGACCATCAAAATAAATTGTGACCAAATAGTTAAGCCTTTAAGTTTCACTTTAAGTTGAATACTAGTATCTTGCAAATTAATTTAGTTATTAGAAATTACTTAAAATCAGTTTAAAAAAAAAACTGTTAAATAGAATGTGGGAAATGTTTTTGGGGGGAAGAATTCAAATTTCACTGGCGGGCTAATAATTTTGACTATATAATTTATTTTACAAGAGAAATCAGTTGTGTGACATGTTGTGTGCAACAACAAAATATTAAAATGTCATGTTATAATGTCACAAACTTACTTGCTGTGACGTATTATGCTGCTCGGCTATGCAGGATTTCATTTGTGCTGATGTTTCTATTGTAATTTTCATGCCTCTAAATGATATTTTTTCACTAATGAGCATAAACAACTTCTGGTGAACAAACCAATGCTTCGTTATCATTTGGAAGATTGGACTACACCAACATAAAACACATTGCTCTATTTCAAAATCACCTTTTAACATGAAACATGAGTGATTTTGTCCCCAAATAAATCCAAGCAAGTCTTATTTCACATACTCTTATTTAATAAGCCAGGGTCACTGAGAGTGTGGCTTTATTGACAGGTTCCTTATTAGAGAATACAGGAAGGAAGACAGAAATTACAGGCAATAAATGTCCGAGGATGTGAAATCTGCTGGTATTTTGAATGAGCCGACTCTCTCTCTCTCTCTCTCTCTCTCTCTCTCTCTCTCTCTCTCTCTCTCTCTCTGTATAATATAATCAGGATTGTGTTTATGTGGCGATTGTTCTTCATCAGGCTTTCAGAGAGGACTCAGCATCAGTGACATTTGTGTTGATTGGCTGAGCACTGTCCACAGCTGAAGGGAAATCCAAGGCTGTGTGCAGGAATCATGTGTTTGAATGGTGCCTAATGATGGGGTTGTTGCTAGATTGGATACAACTGCGGTTAAACAAAGCATATTTATATTGTTGTTTTTTTAATTACACATGAATAGTTTTTTAATTAACATCTACCATCTTCCCAATCCTAAACTTTCCCTTCACATAATAATAATATTAATATTAATATATTAAAGGGCACCTATTTTACTCCTTTTACAAGATGTATAGATAAACCTTTGATGACTCCAGAATGTGTTTGTAAAGCTTCAACTCAAAATACCCATCAAATTATTTATTATAGCCTCCAGAATCTGTCCATTTTTCTCTCTGAGTAAATTTTAGCTGTTTTTGTATCCTGTGGCTTTAAATCCGAATAAGCTGCTTTTCCCTGCCCACCACTCCCGAGTTCTGTGTCAGTTTTTCATCATGTGTCACATCAGATAAACAGCAGTCAGTGATAGAGACATACTCAGATAAAGCTGAAATACACCTCATTTGTCAAAAATACCAAGGAAATTTATTTGATGCATTTGTGGTGAAGTTTATCTAAGCCTTTTTGAAATGAGAAGTTGCACACACACTTACACATAAATATACATAACTGCTGACACAGTAATGTAAAGTGACGCTGGACAATGGAGTGCAGGTTTTATTAAAAGGAATGGTCAGGCAAGCAATGGTCAACACAGGGGCAATCAGATGCATACAGAGTATCCAGAGTCGTTGTCAAATAACAGGCAATTGGTCAGAAGGCAGGCAGCAGACAGGAATAAAACTAAAATAAAGGGAGGATCAAACACGGCAAAACAAGGCAAAGGAAACACTTTGTAAAGTTCACAAACAGATAAACACAAGACTCAGCAATGAAGTGTGACAGCGCGCATTTTCAGGTATCAGTTAAGTGACGGAAAGCTAGTGATTGTGACGGACACCATGCGGCCATTGTGATTTATAGCGGTTAAGAATAAGAAATTTTACTGTCCTAATCACAAGCATGCTGTTTTTAAAAACATTTTAAACTTATAACTTATATAATCACAGAGAGTTGTAACAAATATTTGAATCCCAGTTTATATGAAACTTCTTGTGTTTCTTTCACTCTAATATGACAGTGAACACACTATACCAACACACAGTTATGTCCAAACAGCTTAC